TCAACCCTTTCAGCTAAATGTACTTAAATGCTACATTCATGCTCAATCTTCTGATCTTACCACACCCATGTTATAATTGAACAAAGCACATAACATCAACTTCATCTTATTCAATGTGCCTAAGGTTAGAGAAGAATAAGTAAAGTTTTGGTTCTGTTGGTGTTTTTCCACCAATAGAGCCCATGCATTTAATCTCTACCTTGTCTTTATGAGGACACACTTCAAGCAAAGTGTGGGGGAAGTTAGTCGATTCCCAAATTTCTACAAGTGAAAGTTCTAAACCCGTCAAACCAAAATCCAAACTTAAAACCAAGACGAGTTTGGCGGAAGAAGGTGGCATCACCATTAGAGACACCACCACAAGAATCCTCGTCTTCGGAGTGAACCGAGGTGCTCAATCAATGAACTTCACAAGGAGAAGTCTGGTTCGAAGGGCTTAAAACACTGAACCCTCACCGAAAGATCTAGCTTGGGGGAGACGCATCACCAAGTATCCAGGTAAGTATTTTTTCCCTTTATTTTAGTTTTTAGTTTTTTTAAATGGTTAAAAAATGATGAATGAAAACAAAATAAATAGTTATCCCTGTAGTAGTAAAACAAAAGGAGTGTGTATCTAGGTTGCTTTAACTTTGATTTTTAAGAGCTGAATAAATAAAGAGGACTCTGAATAATCTCCTAAATGGAAATGATGAATAGTTGCTATGTTGTAATTCCTTTCAAGTATCTAGTTTTCAGCCTTGAATTCTCTCGAGTTTTGGATAAAACTGATTTGATATAAAGATTTACTCTAAACTTGAAACTTATGGGTAGCATACATATGCCTAATATAAGTCTAGGTAATTGACAGATATGATATGAGATGGTCTGAGCTGTTGTTTATCTTGTTCCAAGTAACACTAAAGTTCTAGAGATTTATCCTTTGAAAAACACAAAAATGCTACATGATGAGTTCCTATATGACAAAGCTTGAATTCCTACCAGAGCCATACATGTAGTTTAGGCTAGGAAAACTTCCACATATATCCTGCTTGCTTTTGCATTGAGTTTTGTCAAGCTTTGTGACCCTTATTAGATTTGTCATGCACTTAAAATCAAGATCACGTACACACCACCTACATATGCACTACTCCTATACTGGGTAGGCGCAAAAACATGTTTTCATTTAGATCCACCAAAAAATGTTCCACTCCTACACTCAGGGTGAACACACAAAAAAACATGCTTGATAGGTTTTTCATCCACCAAATAAATGCTCTAAGTTCTTGTTGCTATCTCTCAGAAGTTTTTGTTGCAGAAAAGAGGCATGGGCTATGCAAAAGTTATTCATAAAAAAAAGAAGGTTAAAAGAAAAATTGGACAAGTGTCCGAGATATCTAAAACAATGTGTACTTAGATGCCCGCCTAAAAAAAGAGACAGATGAATAAGATAGCCCATGTTCTTTTGCAAAAATATTTCCAAGTTTCAAAAGAGAGATAAGTTTTCAAGGATCAAAGTAGAATTAGGATAGCCACCATATATATCCACCATATTCCACACACATGCACATCTTGATTTCATTGTATGACTCAACTCTCTTTGGATCCAAGGTTTGACTTTACAATATAAGCATTGCATGTATGCTCTTTCATGCTATTTCCACTCCTATGAGCTCCACATAAGCCTTAGTTGTAAGAAGAGAAAGGCATAACATCTTTATTGCCTTGGTGAGGATTGCACAAATACCATATATATTGAGAGACTTGAGAGTGTCAAACAATGGAATCTCTGAGTTTTATTTTAAAGACTTATAAAAACTCTAGAACAATGGTGGAACAAAAGAATTTGAGACATAGTGCTTGACTTGATTGTTCTATCTTTCAATTGCTCAAGACCCAAGTGAAGGCTAAGACGCCCCAAGGTTGAAGGTAATATGGGTAAGTTTAAAAGTTAAATCAGTTTATTCTAATCCGGAAGAGAATTTTTGATTGAACGCCAGAGTACTTTTGAGGCGTGAAAGCATTGCAGCAACTCCTAATCCATTACTGAGTTTAGCTTTGCTCTGGGATGAGCAAAGGTTAAGCTTGGGGGAGTTTGTTGACGGTCATTAACATCAATCATAAACCATCAACATATCCTACATATATACTTAATTCAATCACCAAACATAGGTATAATTTTTAAAACTAATGAGTTCCACGAGTTTTGTTGATTTCATGACTGTAGGAGGATTTAATCAGAAAACCGTCAAGGAGGACCTATTCGTCAAAGTAAATCACGTTCACCCGCGATGAAACCGACCTGGGAAGACTCTAGAACAGTCCAGAAGGCAAACCACCATAACCCAGCCCGAGCCACTGCCATGTGGGCCCGTCCAGCCCCACCTGCAGGCCGGCCGGCCTATGGGGCCCTGTGTCAGCATCTCCACGCTACGTCAGTTCTCCACTGCCTTGAAGATCGAATCTACACCATTGCTCAAGGTCGATTTGATCCGAGGATCCTGATTTGACATTGCTCCCTATATATACGCCCCTGTACCTCCTCCAGCAGGGCATCCTGAAATCTAGAAACCAAAAGGCACAATTCATATCCTCGTTTTAGGATCAGATGAAGCAATCAAGAGAAGAATAGTCCTCCAAGTCAGGATCTAGCCTTTCTAAATAGAAATAGTGAGATAGAGAGTGAGGGAAGAGTTTGGAGGAAGTGTCGGCCTATTGGTGCTCTCTCTACGGCTTGTACCTTGGCGGAATCAAGCTCTTCTTGGGCTTGTTTCTGAGATTTCTCTGGTAATCAACTTTTGATTCAAGTAAGTAACATGTTTATATTGTTCATCAGGTTCACAACTTGTTTGAGTGCTTTATTCTTTATCTGGGAAGAGTAAAGTAGTAATTGCGGTGTAAGTGTGGTGCTTAGACTCTGGTTACTTGTGGATGCACCCTGCATTCCAGACCGGTGGTAGATTGCGAGGGTGACTATATAGCCTCGTTGAGTCATTTGTAGTCCACCTCTCGTCTGTAGGCCAAGTAGGACGCGGTTGCAATAGAAAACATCCTCTACTAGTGTATTCCCTTAGTAATGTCCCTAGTTGAATAGTAGAAGATATAGTTTACCCAAGTCATGACTAGAGAACCTTAATAATCCTCTTTACGCTCCTGTTTATTCTTAACCTTGTTGTTACCCCTAGTTAAGTTAGACTCTATTTAATCTCTCACATTTCCCTATGGATACGATACTTGGAATACTTTTAGGTGAAAGCTACAGCGGTATCCGTGCGCTTACGGATCTTTTCTATATGCATTAATAAATACCAACAGAAATGGTGCTTTCTCCTAAGGTGTTCAACTTTATACACCTTCCTTAACCATTTCATATGCTATCAGATCATCAAACAAGAGGCCCTCTACAACCGCACTCTTGGCTTAACATCATGTTAGCTTTGTTCTTAGCTGCTCAGTTTCTAAATGAACACCTTGTTTCATCCAGTGTTTTCTTCAAGAGTCCCACCGGACTTCTTTTAGAATGCAAGGGTGTTCTTTGTAAAACCACAATCCAACTTGATGGCATTGACAATCCTTGACTTTCATGTTTACGAGGTCCATGACTTTGATATCTTGATAGGACATACCATAGAAAAGCTTCTTACTAAGTCTTTTCTTGATGGGAATCTCAATGTGCTTGCAGAAGAAATCCGTTAAAAGTCCCGATCTCACAATCACGGAATTCGGTGACTGGAGAACCACTGATTTGTGACTTGATAGAGCTCGTGGTGAGTAAATCTTCCTTTGAAACTCAAGTCCATCCTAGAGCGAGATGCTCCACTCTTTATCAAAGAGGAGGACTAGCATCTCTTTATCAAAGAGGAGGACCTGATAGAGCTCGTGATACATCTTCCTTTAAAACTCCAAGTCCATATCCTAGAGCGAGATACTCCACTCTTTATCAAAGAGGAGGACGGAGACGGAGAAGTTTTCAATCTGCCCTCAAATGAACCACCATCATGACCCTCTATCAAGCTTAAACCTCTACCTTTGGGCCTTTGCTATGCTTCTCCAAATGGTGACAAAGAAACTCCCGTGATAGTTATCAACAAGCTAACGGAGGAGGAACTTGCCAAACTCATCACCGTTTTTAAGAAGCACCGCTTTGTTCTGGGCTACCCATTGCACCATCTAGGGAGCCCCAAAGGCTTAATAATATGATGAAAGAAGTGGTGAAGAAAAAGGTCTTGAAACTCCTTCACGTCGGGATTATCTATCTTGTTCCCTTTAGTGAGTGTGTTAGCCCCGTTTAAGTGGTACCGAAGAAGGAATGACAGTCGTTGAAAACTCTAAAAATCAATTGATCCCACAATGAACCATCACATGATGGAGAATGTGTATCGCTTATTGGAAGCTCAATAATGCAACTAAGAAAGATCACTTTTCACTTTCGTTTATTGATGAAATGTACCATCATGGGATAGAGAATGTGTATCGATTACCAGTAGCTCAATAAGGCAACTAAGAAAGATCATTTTCTACTCCTGTTTATTAATGAAATGTTAGAATGGTTAGCTAAGCACTCTTTCTTTTTTTCTTGATGGATATTTGAGTTACCATCAAATGCCCATCCATCACGCCAACCAAAGCAAGACAACTTTCATGTGTCCCCGTAGGATGTATATGTAAGACGATTTTCATGTATCCCTATAAGACGAATGCATATTAGAGGATGTGGTTCGGACTTAGTAACGCTCCGTCATTCTTTCAAAGATGCAGTGTCTATCTTTTTTTTTTTTGACATGATCGATCATAAAAGTTTTCGTTGGACGACATTCCTGTTAATTAGCAGTCATCGTAGTGGTATTTGTTGCATGAGGAGTTATTTGACTTCTTGCCCTGTACGGAGTTACATTACATCACAAAACACGTTAAACATGTTTGAAACTGACCTCAAACTCATCTACAATTCCTGGCTCGGACTGAATCAGAGAAAACTTAGATGTTGCGATTTTCCGCATGTTTGGTTTTGACAGTTGTGGTCGTCAATTATCGTCGTCGAAACACATGAGCTCTTCGCCGAACGTGATCACGTCGAAGTTGGCACGGTTGGGATGGGCATCTGCGGCGCCCCTCAACGCCGCCTCCGCCGCTTCAGCCTCGGGTTCCGTAGACTCCTGGCAGCCGACGTAAACGACGGCTTCCTCGAGCGACTCGAGGTTTCCCAGCCCGAAGTCGAAGCCATCGTTCCCAAGATCGATGGTGTTCCTCACCCTGAAGCAGAACTCGAGCCTCCGTAGCCGCGGCGCAGCACCACGACGGAACACGGGCCCCAGGTCCGAGTCCCGGAACCTGCACTCCGTCAGGCGCGGGAACGCGCCGCCAGGGACCACGAGGGGCTCCTTATTGGCATAGGGATCCACGCGGAGGACCCGGAGCGCCGGCAGCCTCCCAAGCGCTTCGACGTCCTGCTGCCGCAGCTCCTGGAGCTGGACGATCAGAACGGCGAGGCACGGCGTGGCCGGCGCGTCGATCCACACCGGCAACACCCGCAGCGAGCTCGAGTAGCTGTTCATAGCTCGCGCGTGGAACTCGCGGAGGCTCCGTGGCGGCGCCCAGGCCTCTCTCACCATGTCAAGCCTCTGGGAACAATCGCCACCGCCACAGCCACCGCCACCGGTGACGTAGACGTCTAGGACCTGGATATTGTGCAGGCCGCGCAGCAACTGCAGCAGAGCCTCCTCCTGCCTCCTGGATGGCTTCCAAAGCGTCATCCTGAGCACCCTCAGCTTTGTGAGTCTGCCGAGCACCTCCACCACGTCCGGCGCCTCCCGCGTCGAGACGTCAGAGAGCTCCTCCAGCGCGTCAGGCTCCCGATCCCGGTTGGCACCCTAGTGCGGTAGTCCACGCGCAGGCACATGAGCTCTCTCAGTTGAACGACGCTCGACGGTAGCTCATCTTGTTTAGTTCAAAAAACTTTTTCAAAAAAGTGCTACAGTAGCTATCACATCGAATCTTACGATACGTGCATGGAGCATTAAATATAGACGAAAAAAACTAATTGCACAGTTTGATTGAAAATTACGAGACGAACGTTTTGAGCCTAATTAATCAATGATTAAATACTAATTATCAAATAAAAACGAAAGTGCTATAGCAGCCCAATTTTCAAAATTTAGCTAACTAAACGCGGCCTTAGTGTTGTCTGCCAAGTCTAGTGTCTGCAGAGAACGCAGCTTGCCGATGTTTTCAGGGACACAGGCAATGCGTGTATCTCGCAGTCCAAGGTACCTCAAGTGAATCAAACTTCCAATATGATTCTGCAGAAGGTGACTCCCAGAAAGATCACATCCTTCGAGATCCAAAACACGAAGAAATCCAGCCGTGCTCAGATCGATACTTTCGGCATTGCCAGGGCTGAAGACAGAGAGAGACCTCAGCTGAGGCATGCTGATGCTAGCCAGAGAAGAGGAATCCTCTGTTTTGCTTCGTCCTCGGAAGGATGCCCTGCGAATCTGCTGACCTGATGGACATGCCTGCTGCTCGTCATCCAGTACAGTGATGAAGATTTCTTGGCTTGACAGGTGACTTATGAGATCCATCACTGGAAAACTCACGCTGCAGCAGCACTAATCCACATCTAGCAACTGAATCATGCTTCTATTGACCAGCTCGTCGACATAACTCTCCCCAAGCTCAAATAAGGACTCCACTTTTTTGTCTTCAAACTGGACAAAACCTTCGGCTATCCAGCGCCACACCAATCGGTCTCGCCTGATCTCATAGTCCTCTGGAAATACACTCATGTACAATAAGCAAGCCCTCAGATGGGGAGGGAGATTGTAGTAGCCAAGAGAGGTGACCATCCTCATGTTCTTCACATCAGGTGTGTTCTCAAGTCCTGAACCAATGTACCCACGCACCTTGTGCCATTCTCTTTTGTCCCCCATCTTGGTAGCCAACATTTTGGCTAGCGTAACAATAGCTAATGGCACACCATTGCATTTCTTCGATATTTTTTCTGCTACTTTGGTAAATTCATCATCAGGACAGCGCTTGTCTTCATGGCCCAATACTGTTTTGAAGAACAGTGTCCTGAAATCCTCTGCAGAAAGGGGCTTCAGTTCATACGGAGTTCCAACTTGATCGGCTACATCAAAGTTGCGGGTAGTTGCGATGATTCTACTTCCATGGTTGTTGTCGATTAGAGCACATCGGATCTTGTCCCATGACAGTCTATCCCATAAATCATCGACAACGATTAAGTACCTGCAACTACAGGTAGTGAGTCCACAGTAATACAACGTGAGCTATGCGAAAATGACTATTTCCTTGTAAAATAAAGTGAAAAGCACCTACATACACTAGCAGTAAGACGGTCTCCAACAACGAACCATATGAGCACCCAAATTTAAAATAGGCAGAAAGAGATACAAAATCAGCCTCCAACAGAGTACTTATACGGAGACCTATTTTGGGTTATCTGATAGGCACAACCCAAATATGGGCATCCTCTTTCTTGAAAACCTATTTGCACAAATAATTCTCTTTTGGGTCTGGTTATTGAAGAAGATGCAGGTATTAAACTTTTTATCTGTAGTGCTACCCAAAAGACAAATAAGTCTTGTATTTTAGGTGGTGTTGTTAGCTAGGAACTCTGAAATTGACTGTGGCTCTGTTTTCTAGTAATTGATTGATACAGTAGACTACCGGAATAATACCCGGCAACTTGTGAAGTCATGTCTTCAAATGTCAAAGCTTTCTCTACGTACCTCTGGTTCTGCAGGAATCCTAAGAGCTGATCGATGAGCTTCCTGTCATCCCTTGGTTCTTCGGTAGCGGCAGCATCGCCGGTGAAGCCAAGCTGCCGGAGCAAACTCTGGAGAACCCACTCGATGTGGGGATGAAATCCGACGGAGACGAACGCCGCGCAATCGAACTGCGGTTGGAGAACGCCGTACGCCGATCTGGCGAGGGCTGTCTTGCCCAACCCCGCAGACCCGACGATGGCGACTGCCTTCACCTTCCGGTCGCAAGCGTCGACTTCGCCGTCGTCACCGTTGACATCACCGCGCAGGCGCAGCCTCCTGATGAGCCCGTCTCTGGCGCCGTCAGCGCCGACGAGTGCCACCTCGTCGTCCAGGTCCTAGTGCATAACGGTGGCCGAAGGGAGAGGAACTTCCTCTGCAATAATCCGGGGACGGGACCCGGAGGTCGGTGGCCCTCTGAAGAAGCCCTTCGAGGCTACGCGGCAGGTCGTCCCCGCCGTCCTGTCCGCCAGCTGGCTGCAGCGAGGATGTGACAAGGAGGGCGTCGATGGCATCGTCGACGTCGTACGCCAGCTCCCTTGCTGCGTCGACCCAGGCCCTGCCCTCCTGCTCGTTATCGTGGGGCTGCCCCGGCCACGCGTGGCCACGGTCGGCAGCGTCGCGGATGCTCGTGAGCTCCCGGCTAAGGAGCTCCGCGTCGTGGTGGTCGCCGTCGTGTTTGAGGAGCAGGTAGGCTTGCAGCTTCGGTAGGACACTGCCCACAGTGGCCGCTGCGATCTCCATAGCTCGACCTTGGAGACCGATTGACTAGCTGTGCTGTGCTGCGCGCGTCTCGCCTCTCGCGTGTTCCTGGCTTCCTGCAGTGAAGAAGGTGGTTGAACCGCCCGCGCCGTGTGGTGACATCAGTGTGCTGATGGGCCATGGCTCAGGTCATAGCTAGCTCGCCACGTATGATGCTGTCATGGGGTCATAGATAGCTCGCCACGTTTGCTCAAAAAAAAAGATAGCTCGCCACGACTGATGCTGAACACCGACGCTTTTACTCCGCTGCACACAATTGCATGATCTGTCTGCACGATGTCGACAAAAGGCAATGGGAAGCTAGAAAAGAAACCCCTAGAAGCCTACCACATCGTCGGTCGTCCTGTAATCTGTCGACGGCGACATGGCGTTTCTGCTCCCGTAACTCAATAGGGTGTTTTGGTTCTTCAGTTCGTTTCTAAAATTCATGGGACATCAAATGTTTAAATTAATAAAGAGCATTAAATATAGATTAATTACAAAATCAATTACATAGATAAAGGCTAATTTGTGAGACGATTTTTTTAAGTCTAATTAATCTATCATTAGCACATGTTTACTGTAGCATCACGTTGTCAAATCATAGACTAATTAGGCTTAAAAGATTCGTCTCGCAAATTAGTCGTAAGTTGTGCAATTAGTTTCAGTAATTAGTCTATATTTAATACTCTATGCATGTATCCAAACATTTGATGTGACAGGAATTTTAGGAAGCGCCTGAAGAACCAAACAGGCCAATCACTACCAAATTCAAGAATCCAAGGAGAGTTGTAAGGACATGTTTGGATACTTCCGTGGAAGCTAGCTCCTGGAATCTACCAATGATCCAATAGCTCCAGCTTGTAAGCATCATACAATCTACACACCTTTAGATTCTACAATGTAGCAAGCTGAGGACACCCAGCTTCTATCAGCTTCTGAATTGAACTTGACCGATCTACACCTCACTTTTTTGCCCACTCATTGCAGCCAGCTTTTAGAAGTAAGGGCATTTGGATAATTTTACACTGCAAGTACTATAAGCCCACTTTTATAAGTTATGAATCCAAACAACCTCTCATTTTAGCTTTTGTAATCTAGCTTATAGAAATCTGACTTTTAGAAGCTAACTTCTGCAGTCCATGTGGATCCAAATGCAGCCTAAATCAGTGGAAGCATTCCCTTTCTAACCTCAGAGACCTCAGCCTTATTGAGTGAAATTTTAGGGAGTTTTCTTAGGAAAGTTAATTGCTCTTCTTCAACAACAGAAGATTTATTGGAAACAATGGGGTGCCATCAAATGGGTAACACACTTCGGGATACTAGTACAAAGTTTTTTCATGCCCAAGCAACAGTTAAATATAGAAGAAATTTGATAACTCAATTGTCAGATGATGAAGGCAACACAGTGGTAAATCACAATGATAATGCCAACTTGATTTGGCTATCTTTCAAAGAGAGGTTGGGCATAAGTAATTTCACTTCGATCAACTTTGATTTAGCCTCACATTTCACAAACCACCCAAATATTTCTATTCTTGTGGAACCTTTTTCAAGGGCTAAAATTGATGCAGTGGTCAAGTCACTCCCCTCTGATAAGGCTCCTGGACCTAATAGATTTAATATTGATTTCATAAAGCATTGTTGTCCAATTATTTTATGAATATTTTTATAGATTGTGTGAAGATTTCTATTCTAACCATCTCTGTCTGCAGAGCATTAATGGGTCTCATATCACTCTAATACCCAAGAAAGATGATGCTCAGAGGATTTCTGATTACAGGCCTATTTCTTTACTAAGTACCTCAGTAAAGATCATCACAAAGTTATTGGCTAATAGACTCCAGACAGTGTTGTCTTCACTTCTTCACAAAAATCAATATGGTTTTATTAAGCATAGAACTATTCAGGATTTGTATTGCTTGGGCCTTGGAGTTTTTGCATATGTGCCATCAGACTAAAAAGGAACTAATCATTTTAAAGCTTGATTTTGAAAAGGGTTTTGACAAGGTGAACATGAATTCATGATGTAAATTATGGAGCACAAAGGTCTTCCACCTAGATGGTTACACTGGATGAAATCTATTTTTTGTTCTAGCACCTCTCTTGTTATCTTGAATGGAGTGCTTGGAAAGGGCTATCCACTGTCGAAGGGGAGTAAGGGGAGTTAGGCAGGGGACCCTGTTTCACCCCTCATATGTTTTGGTAGCAGTTTTTTCTTTAGACCTTTCTCAATAGTGCTAGAAGCAATAACCTTTTGAATTTGCCACTGCCCCAACCAAGTGATAAGGACTTTCCAATTCTGCAATATGCAGATGATACCCTTATTTTTATGAAAGGAGACATTGCTAAGCTTAATCATTTGAAGGAGATATTGTCCTCTTTTGCTGAAGCCTCTGGATTAAATGTCAACTTTGATAAATCAACGATGATTCCTATAAATGTCCTTGATGATAGATTAGAGGTTTTGGCTAGTAGTTTTGGGTGCTCAAAGGGTACCTTACCCTTTACCTATTTGGGCCTTCCTCTCAGTTTGGCTAATCCTACGGTGGCTGATTTTTTTGCCTCTAGTCAATAAATGTGAGAGACGGCTAGTAGCTTTTTCTTCCTATCTGAGTGAAATTAGAACTTACAAATCCAGTGCTTATAGCCCTACCAACATTTGCTATGCGCAGTTTCTTATTGCCTAAAACTGTGATCAAGTAGATTGATAAGTACAAAAAACATTATTTGTGGAGAGGGTCAGATGTTAATAGCAAAAAGCTTCCAAAGGCAGCTTGGCCAATGGTATGCCTGCCTAAAGAGGAAGGTTGCCTCAAGGTTCTCAATATAACAGTTTCAAAATGAAAGTCTGTTACTAAAGCATCTTCACGAGTTCTACAATAGAGCTCAAATCCCATGGGTGATGGCTTTTTACTTTATTTCCCCAATAAAGAATGACTTGGATCGACAAAATACGAACGAAGATGGTCCCGATGTTTACAAAAATGATGTCTTCAACGATAAAGATGGGCTAGTTGTCAAATACTATTATTTCCTACGCTGATGTCGTGACATAATTAACAAAAAAAAAATAAGTTAACAAACAATAAATGAGGGAAATAAAAATTATGAATTTTAAAATGGATCATTCAAATGTTGAAATAATTCAAATTCATATATAATTCAGAAAAATTAAATATAAATTTTTATTCATCCAAACAAAAAAAAGAAAATGTTAGTTTTAAATACACATGCTTGACAAAAAATTATAGAAATAAGTTATATATATATAATGCTTTTAAATACACGTGTGCGGTATAGGCACAACTCAGCAGGTTTGTAACGGTTGCCTTTCTTGACCAGTGCGAACGACAATGCGGCGCGAGCCGGTTGGCTTCCGAAGCACGAGTCTCCAAGGTGAGAAGAGGCGTTCTGTCGCCCCCCCCCCTCCCGATATCCATCCCATCTCCTCCAATCCGCTTTCCCCGTGATCATCAGCCAAGATCCATCCATAAATTGACAGCAATCACTACTACACATGCACCTTTCACAACCGCGTCGTAACTCACATCGCAGTCAAATTTTGGCCTCGGCAGTAAACTGTCGGCAGTGATACTCATAGCCATCACCATCGGTATTTGAGACCGACTGGGGTGTACACTACATGGCCTATTAGCTTATCATCCGTCCGTGATAAGGTCCTTACTTCCATCGCATTGGAACACGACCCACGTGTGTGGGTATGCACTAACACCGCCGCATGGCTTATGATCCGTCCATGATCAGATCCTTATTCCGTCGTATTGAAGCATGACCCGCCTGTGTCGAGGCGAACATCACCGTCGCTTCAGCGTATGAACCATCTGGTCATAGGGCATGGTCACCATCGCATTGCAGTACGATCCGCCCATGATGATCCTTTAGTCAGTGTCGGATTACTAAACAATTCGGCGGTGATGCACTATTGACCCCTGCTGCATCAGACGAATAGCGCTGTTGATGGCCATCTGCTTCACTAAAGGCGAGTGGTACGGCGGTGATGACAAAACAACCAACGACCCTTACATTCGATGGTGACAGAATTGCATCCGGTTTTCATAATGTATTTACTAATTCAGCTAGGCCTTAATAACTTACTGAACACACACCATATAGATATAATCATTACACATCATTCATCATGTCCACAATGAAGAGCACTTGTTATAATAACAATGCTCGGCACTAACATAACAATTGTGTCAACTGATGAATTAACACAAGCGATACATAGATAGCATAATAAAGGTTCTGCTCTCTACAGACTTACGTAACTAAAATGAGGTAGATGTGCTCCGCTCCTTCAGATTGGCACTCCTTGATCAGCTTGGCAGCCAATGCAGCATGGAACCCCTCTTCTTCCTCACATAGCCATTGCAGGAAAATTGTTCAAAAACACTAAGACTCCAAAACCTGCAAAATGCAAAGTAGCAGAATTAATAATATTTGACATACCACTGGTTTAGTTACTAAGCCAAAATTGGACTATGTCGATAGAATATCGTCGGCAGTCCTCCGAGGGGTATCCCACGAAGGTAGATTGATCGGCAGAGAGGCGTGTAATCAAGAACAAGAAGGCAACAGAGACACATAAGTTAGATAGGTTCAGGCCATCAGTATGACGTAATACCCTACTCATGTGGTCTGCTCGATTGTATTGACTATCGTATGATATTGCGTGTGTTTGGAGGGGGTACCTGCCCGCCTTATATAGTTCGGGAGGTAGGGTTATAAGTTGGTTAGATCTGAGAGATAACCAGAAAGTAATAACAGATTACAGGAATCATGGGATCATACGTATCCTAACAGATCTCGTAGTATCTTTAGGATATCTTCCCAGTGTCTTACGAGAGACGCCGAGCAGCGTCGTGCCCCGCAAGGCTTCATCTTGTGAGCTGGGCCGCCCCTTGGGGCATAGCCCATGTGGTCTGCCATGGGTATCCAGGGTCGTACCCCCACAGCTAGTCCCCAAGCGCCTTGTA